GGAAAAAATTAACTTTCAGGACAGCATTGATTTTAGCCACCAAGTTACATGTCTAGGTTGTTTTAAGCAGAAATATTTGACCTCCTTCTTTTCACATTTTTTGAAACTTAATGCACTAGTAATCTAAAAATACAGTATATGTTTTTACCTTGTTTCTGTGCTCTCCCTGATCTGCTGGCAACAATGAAATATTAGCTCACAGGGGAATCTTGCAGCTTGAGTTACTTTGTGCTGTTGCCATGTGGTTACTGATTGGAAGAAAAATCCGCTGTCGGCATATGAAGTTGAATGAAACTTCCTGAGTATTGTGCCAGCTTAGAAACACACTCAACACCTGGTGCCTTTGTAAAACACTTATTGTCTTTGATAGATTCTGTGGGGTCTGCTCAATGCACTGCAGACGGATGCTTGGATTAGATGTCGCCTTGCACAGCTGGTGCCACTGGGTCAGTGTGAACCTCTGTGCTCCACTCCTGTCTCCTTGTCAGCACAGCTGTACTCCTCAGTGCGTTGGATCTGAGTGTTGCTGGAACCACGCAGCTCAGTTTTCCCTTGTGTTGAAAGTCTATCTTATAGATATCCATTAGCCTCTGTTTCTTGGGTTGATGAGACATACGTTCACATTTCCCTAAGATGCGTTATGTAGCTATTGCATTTTAGAAGAATGCTTTGACAAATATGGTGAAATGTAACCATTTGTGAACCGAAGTAAAGGGCATTTATTGACTCATTATATTGTTCTTTTAACTTTTCTTTGTAGCTAGCTAAGAAGTGAAAAAAAATAATAATGCTTGAAAAGAGAAGCACGCCAAAGGTAGACATGTAAGAAGGGGGAGGGGAGACAGCCTGTTCCTAAGAGGAAAGCTCTATCCAGGGAATACCGACTTTTCTCTCTCCACAGTAATTCTGGCACTTTTCCCACCATCAGCAGGTGCGATTTATAGTAAACTGAAACAATGCCCACAGACACCCACAGAAGGAATTTCCCAGGCTGTAGTAAGCATCAAATTAGTTATCACAAAATTCTGGAAAAAGGAATATTAAAATCAAAACAAAATCAAACAACGAAAACCTAACAAACAAAGAATTAATAAGGCAAATAGACTTTAAAACAAGCTCAATTCTTAGCTTCAGAGACAGAGGAAGACATGACACCCATAAAACAAAAGTTTGCCACGAAAAATCACCAACTGTAGATCATGAAAATTTCTTATATAATTCTTTATAAAAAGTACCTAAAGAAATATTCAAAAGGCCTTCAGTGAAATATTTAGATTTTAAATAAACAGATATTGTTTAAAACTTCCTAAGTAACACAGGGAATTAAGCTAGGATATGGATTTATAAAATAAAACATCCAGATTAAAATTTCTACCAGCAATCAGCAGAAAAGGAAAAGGAAATTCCAATAATGCTCTATAAAGTTCCCTAGAGAAGAAAACTGAGCTACTTGAGGAAATAAAATATTCAAAGAAGTTATATTATTTTTAAAAATTTTCCAACTTTAATAAAAGATCCGAATCTTCATAAGTGTCCATACACTGCTAAGTAAGATAATGAATATACGAATCATTTGTAGGTATCATGTAACATTTGAGAAAAATAAAATTATACAAAATCCTTAAAATATCTGAGAAAAAAAACCCAATAAAGTTTGTTTTCAGAAAAGGATTGGATTAAAATCGTTCATCAAAATGGCGGCACCTGGCAGAATGCAATGGTGTAGTACATTCAGAGTGGCAAACAAAAATTGCTTTTCATATAAAATCTTGTATTCAAATCAGGATACACGTTTGAGGGACAATTAAGACTAAATAAATGAGAAGTTCATTAAAAATAACTAAACTGTTTGAAAAAAATTAGGAACAATAAAAATGTTCTAAAATAAACAAAAATGATAAACTTTTAATCTTATCTCCCAAAGGTAACCACTTTTAACCTTTTGATATATTCCATGTAGTCTTCTGCTTATGCACTTATTAGAATATTGATGCTTACATTTTATCAGTTTGTAGTATCATTTTTTCCTTAATATTATAATGTTCCCCATAGTAAAATTGCTTTACAAATATATTTTTAATGTCTGGGTCTTATTCCACTGAGTAGCTATGTAGTAACATTTATAATCTTACTGGATATTTCCTTTGCTTTTTTTTTCTATCATATATACTGTGATGATCATCTTTATATGTAAATTTTTTTCTATGTTTCAGATTTTTTTTTTTTGGAAGGATTTCTAAGTGTAGTTTTACTGATGTAGCCAATCTGATATTTATCAAACATTTGTGAAACTCAAAAGCTTTTTCCCTAGGTGACTTTTACTAATTGCATTCACAGTAAGTGTGAAGGCTCCACACTTTCTAAACAGGAGGATCTGGGGAGTTGCTTAAAAAGTGAGGTTGAAGGTGGATTAAGGGTGGAATTTAAGAAGGCCAGAAGGAATCAATGGGTACCATTAAAAGCTGGGACCTGCACGGGGCTGGCCCGGTGGCTTAGTGGCTAATTTCGTGCACTCTGCTTCAGTGGCTGGGGTTCACAGATTTGGATGCTGGGTGCGGACCTAGAGCCGATCATCAAGCCATGCTGTGGCGGCATCCCACATACAAAATAGAGGAAGATTGGTGCAGTTCCTGAAGCAAAAAGAGGAAGATTGGCAACAGGTGTTGGCTTGGAGACAATCTTCCTCACCCGCCCCCCGGCCCCCCAAAAAAGCTGAGACCTGCAGATGGAGACGGAGAACTGCAGAGAAAGAGGCTCCTCCTCAGCGGTGGTAGCACACTGAAGCAATGTCTGGAGTGACACTTCCTCCTCAGCCCCGAGTCGTTTGTTTTGTAAGGAAGAATCTCATGAAAAGTATCTGGAAACACAGGCAAAGTCTGTAGAGGAAATGATACCAAGGCCTTTGTAACTAGAGATGAGCGTTTCTAAGGAAACTTCTGCAGAGTTGAAACAGAAGGAAAGAGATGAGTAGGTGGGGCCTCCATTGAAAATAGTCCCTGTGTTAACATTCAAACATGAAATTGAAATGAATGCAGGTGCTGTTCTGAGATGATTTAATTTTCTAGCACTATATGCAAGCTGTGAAGTTAACAAGAAATTACATAATTGAATCTTTTCCCCTGACCTGGAAGGGAGGGTTTCCTCTGGGATGCATTCAGATTTCGATCATAGGAAGGGTGCTGCCCACAGGACTCATTAAAAATAAATTCTTGTCCTTAAAGTTTGAAAGTCAAGACATGTTTTAGCGTTATTACTCCTATTTGGTGATGAGGGATTGTGTTAGTGAAAAAACAAAACTAAACAAAAACCAGCATCCTGTTGAAAAACTGGGGCAAGAGGAAAGCATGATGGAAAGAGTACATGCACTCACTTAGACTTCCATTTTCTTCTAGTCTTCACCCCATTATTCACTTACTCTCTGGCTTTCTACAAGTCACTTAAACTTTCAGCCCTATCGTCAGTTTTCTGCACAATTTTCTTGTGAGAATACAGTGAAATAATAAATAGAAACATTCTTTAATAATGGCAAAGTGCTATATACATGTTAAATGCCATTATTAATATTGTCCATGGGGATCTGCCAGCTATTCCTCTGCATAGTCAAAATACACAGTAAGTATTTCAGCTCCTCAAATTGTGTGTTCTTGAACATATGAATTTAAACGTGCAATTTGAATGCATCGTGTGTTAAAGGCATTAGACCATGCACCCTGCAGAATGGGGGTCAGTGTGGGCAGGATACAGTTTGTACATTCAAAGAGCTGATTTTTGTTCCAAAGATTTCTGGGTTGCACTCCAGATTTCTAAGAACATTTAACTCTCAGCAATCCAAGGACCTGAGCAAAAGATAGCAAGTGATTTTCAAAAGGCTTAGTCAAAAATATAAAATATACCATCTGAGCAGACAGATGGACTCTTGGAATTCAGCAAGGGCCTTGAAAAGGCTGCTGTTTGCATTGGTTGAACAGAATAGGATTCTTAGCAGTCTATGCACCCTAACACTCAAGTCTTCTGACTCCTTTCAGGGCAGTAAATTCTCTAAAGCAAAAGCTCTAAGAGGGGCCGGCCCTGTGGTTGAGTAAAGTCCGCGCGCTCTACTTCACTAGCCCAGGGTTTCGCGGGTTTGGATCCTGGGCTCAGACATGGCACTCCTCATCAAGCCATGCTGAGATGGCGTCCCACATGCCACAACTAGAAGGACCTACAACTAGAATATACAACTATGTACTGGAGGGCTTTGGGGGGAAGAAGAAGAAGGGGAAAAAAGAAAAGAAGATTGGCAACAGATGTTAGCTCAGAGCCAATCTTTAAAAAAAAAAAAAAAAAAGCTCGAAGAATGCAGAGGATTCCTGGGATGGATACTTTTCTCTAGAGTTTATGAATTAACATTTATAGAAATGAGAACTATAAAGCAGCAAAACTGGCAATAAGTAACACCAGTGTCAAGTGGTGAGCACTGTGTTGACTGCTATAGGGGATAAATACAGCCTGCCTTCAGAGAGTTCATAGTGCAAGTTTGGTCAAGTTATTACAGGAAAACCGCTATGGTTTTCTCACCTTTTAATCATTAGTTTCACTGCTAGTGCTTATATGGAAACTTTTGCTTGAAAGGAATAGAAACTCAACTGCAACACGTCCGCATAAAAAGGAAAGTATTAGTCTCACTGAAGAGTCCAGAGAAGGTCTAGCGAGCTTCAGGCATGGCTGGATACAGGAACTCAAAGAACATCCCCATAATTTGGTGTGTGTTTCTTTATCTCTTGTCTTTTCCCTTATAGTTTCTTCACAAATTGTCTCTCTCCCTGTGGAGAAAAATGACATGCTGGAAGGTCCAGAAATGTATCTATACAAATTAACAACAGCTGCAGCAATGCCTGTGTGTCCATCACTGAATGAGTTACTGTAGCCAAAGGTGTGCAATCCTGTGATTGATGAGCTTTCCATGTGACGGGAAGCCATACAAGAGTTACTCTTCTGAATAAATACACTGCTTTTTCTAGGAGAGACAGTAGACGCGGAGCATCAAAACCACCGATGTCTATTGCACTGCACGTCCCCTGCTCTCTGTTATTTATAAATACTTTATCTCAAAACTCAACTTTCCTCTTGAGAAATGAAGTGTACAAAAGGCCGATGAGAAGAAAGGGCAGGTAAGGGTTTTATGTATGACTTTGCACAATTAGAACTTGAGTATACATTGTATTTTCCTGCATAGTTACATGTCTATTATGTCCATTTTCCAACCATATGTTTCAAAATGTTCAAAAGAAGTAGTCAAATGAGTTTTTCATTAAACTTTTTTCTTGAAGCAGAAAGCCTGGGTTTAAGTACCTAGTGAAATAGAATCTCAAAAACCTGCGGCTGGCAGGCAGCAAGGTACAACACTGGGAAGGGAAATCAGGAGAACCGAGTTCAGGACCCAGCTCTGACAGTAGCTGCCTTGTGACCTTGGGAAAATGTTCTTTTGACTTCAGCTTTCTCCTCGGTGGAATAAAGGAGTTAAGGCAAGCAGTGCTTGTGCCCAGGCTTATCCAGATGCAAAACGAGCCGTTTGTCCACCCCATGCATCAATTATTCCCCTCTTCCAAATGAGTTGTTTATTATTCTTGTGCCCAGTTGTTTTCAATTTTACTCAAGCATACTTTATCATCCAGTACTTTTCAATCTTATCCCTGGAATAAAAAATTAATTCTGTCTGGACTCACTAAATGCTTTTCTGATTGGTATTAATGCTTTGCTTTCAAATGAACTGTGCATTTTCACAGAGCTAACTTTTGGGGATTACAATTAATGCTACAATTGTTTTAAACCATTAGAGGAAAGTGCCAAATGAATCTTTTCTATTTTTTTTCCATCCCAATGTCCTGTGTAGTGAAAATGGCCACCCTCAGCTGTGGAAATGTGTTCAGGCTTGTGGAGGGGAGGATAGGATGTTTTGGTTTATTTAAGCAGGCACATTTTGTAGCAACTGACAGTAGCTACGCCTCATTAGTTTTATCGGGACCTCATGTTCAGCATTTGAGAAATTGTGCTTTGCTAGTGCTATGCCAAATAGGCACCTGGTCTCTTTTCTAGACTTTAAAAAGGCGGATTCTCTAGGTTTAGGTCATCAGTCTTGAAAAGTCTTGTCCTAAAGAAAAGAGAGAAGAAAAAGAATTATAATTGAAGACCTTACTTAACTGATTAGATCTCCTTTACTCTCTTGGGCTGTGGACTTTTCACTTTAAGTAGCTAATGGTTGGATACCGAGCATAGAGAGAGAGCAATCAATTGTATGTTTATCTGGCTGTGTTCTGAAATGATAATAATGAAAAAAACCTAAAGCATACTTCATTATAGCAATTTATTTCCAATAAAAAACTGTAGTTAGAAACAATGCTATAAATATAAATTGAGAGAGTAAAATGTAGTCTAGTTAATGTTCCTCAGAGAAGATGCTCGATGTAATCTTGCATTTTCGTTTTTCTAGTTGAGAATACAGTGTTCCTCTGAGCAACACCAGGCTAGGAGTCACAACCCTGGCCCGAGGCTGCAGCTCTGGTAGTCATCGTTGGTGCCATGGAAGTCACAGGGCTTCCCTGCTCTTAACCTCAAGTACATTTCCTAAAAATAGCAGTTATTTTATTATCTTTTCTTACCTGAGGATCATTGTGGTCTCAATAAGCTTCACAGACACTAGAAGTTAACTCTACGATGTTATCATTCCCAGCTTACAGATCAGCTGAACCTTCAAATAGTGAAATCTTTAAGATCAGTTGTAGCGTATGAACGAGGCCCCGTTGACTCCGGTGAGTGAGGCCTGAATCTATGTCATTTGTCACATCAGATGCCCACCCTTCCAGTGTAGTGTAGACCACCTACCAAATGGCTACCTCAGGGTTCTTCCTAGTTTGCTGTCATTTGAAAGGGCAGACACATACACATTTATCTCAGGCTAGATACTTTATATTTATATTGATATAATTGTAAGCCATTTTAATTTGGGGAGTTTTTAATTAACTTATAGGAAACTGCCTTCATTTAAAAATTAGTTAGAAAAATGTTCCCAATAATTTTAGATTTTGTTTTCATTTCATTAAAAAAATTAACCAATTAGGTATTCATTTTGGTTTATGTGAAATCAATATTTATCTTTATATTTTTCTCAAAAGGGCTAGGCATTTGTCACCTAGAAGCCCTAACTGAGTAATCCAGCTTCCCCTGGGTTGTGAGTGTGCTAGTTTCTGTGCAGCTGTCTGTGTGTAACTGAGCCGGTACCCATGTGAATTAGTCTCTTTTCATAACGCATTTCCATTTCCTACTAAAGCTTGTTCTCCTTCATTATTCTTCCTACCAGAGATACCCAGGCTATTTTGTATATTTGTATCCTAAAAAAAATTAGAATAACTAAAAAAATCATTTTCTAAAATTCTACTCACATAGTGGTTCATATGAACTGAGTTAATATTATTAATTTAGGGTGCTTGATATAATTGATGTATTTACTACTGTAAGCCTTCCATCCCAAGAGAGCAGGAATATACCTTTGAATCTCTTCGAGTCTTCTTTTGTATCTGTGTAGAGTTTTAATGTTTTCTTCCTATAGATCTTGTCTATTTATTGTCTAACTTATTCCTAGTAGTTTTAGTATATTTTCTTTATAAATTGTATTTAAGACTGTTCTCCTTGGACTGTAAATATTCCCCTTACACACTCTGCTAATTCTCCTAGTTGTCATTTTATTGATCAATTAGCTTACTTCTAGTATCTGTCCTTATAAATAACACTGCTAGGAACTTCCCTGTATATGAAATTTTGATTTTGAAATCCTCGATACTCAGACAGATATAATAAAATACTGGATGCTAAAGTCCTAAGGATTTTCCTGTCTTTCTTGACCAAAGTCATCTTTCACCTAATCATCCCACACACGTGCACACAAACTTATAAGGTAAATTTAAGATATTTAGTACTGCCTACACAAGGACTCTAATGTACCTTTGTGGATGTCATTTTCGATGTGGGTAACTTTAGTGGACACACTGGCCGATGGTATTTTTCTGCAGGAGACTCTAAGAAGCGTCCCAGTACCTGGACATCACATGAAACTAGTTGAAATATGTGTGCTGAATCTTCCAGGATGTTAGGCCTTACTAAAGATCGTAAGACACAAAGGTAATTGATGTAATCAATAGACTAAATGAGGGAAAGTGTTTTAATTGTGCTTCCAAAGCAGGAGTAAGGGATATTTATTTAATTTTCTTTTCCTTTACTTACTCTCAGCAGGAAAAAGCCCACTCTATTTGGCACGCATAGAGCTGACTAACAGACTGACAGCAAATGTGAGGCAATGGGCTTTTCAGCAAAGTAATTCTGGAGAAGTTGCATTTATAATTGAGAGATATCTCTGTGTGTGATTTATTAAATATTGTGCAATGTAGTTATATTCAAATATTGAACCTACCTACCTAGTGCTAGAAAACAATCGTACTCATATATTCTGAATTGTGCAGTGAGGTCAACTTTTTCTTGCTTACTGAGGCAAATCTTGCACGTAAGCCTTTAGTCCCTTTAGAAGTAGTTCCAAACTTACCAGTATGGTGAAACTGGTCTCCCTGAGCACAATAAAGTACTAAATATGAAGATGGAGTTAAAATTATAATTTTGATTTGTCCAATTTATTTGCTATTATTTTGGGGAAGCCACAAAGAATTATTAATTATCTTATGGCAAGAGAATTTATATTTGTTATACAGTGACTGTATACATTAGCATATGCTATTATGTTTAATTTATTACATTTAATTGAATTAAGTCAAGAGCTCAAATGAGCTGTTTGGGATGAGGCCCATTAAGATTAAGTGAGTTGTCCAAGATTATGGAGCTTGGACAACTTCCAATTACTTCCAAAACTTCCACTTACTAAGTCCTCTGAATGTTTCTGTCTTTCTTTCAAATTTTGAAATATTTGACGTTACTGATCAGCCTCCATTTAAGGACTAGAACCGTTCATCAGTTAACGTCAGGGATGCATTCTGAGAAATGTCTCCTTAAGAGATTTCCTTATTGTGCGAACGTCATAGAGTGTACTTACACAAACCTAGATGGTATAGCCTACCACACGCCTACACCTAGGCTACCTGGTACTAATCTTATGGGACCACTGTCTTTTATGCAGTCCGGCATTGACCAAAACATCATTATGTGGCACACGACTGTCATTGATATACAGCCACAATTTAAAAAATAATAATGTTAAGGGGTGAGAATTACCATTTGTTATAAACTTAGTGTGTGTTAACCACTGTGCTGGACGTTTCTTGTGTATGTTTTTAAACCTCACAATAACTGTAGAGTGGGGATTATTAGACACATTTGGCACTGTTGACTATGGTCCCCTTGAAACCGGCTTGGTTTTCTCTCAGTCCCGAGGACTTGCCTTGAGTCCAAATTCTGGTTTTTCTTTTATGTCCTTTTGCACTTGCCCAGGAGAGTGAGCTGGTGGCCCTTTTCTCTTGCTCGCTGCCTGTCCAGCAAGAGCTCTTTCCTGCTTTGGAGGCTTCTCCCTGTCTCTGTGCTTTGGTTGCTCCTCTGCTCCGTCTCTCATGCTCCCGTAGGTGGGCGCCCCAGGCCTCTTCCCTTTGTCGGTTTCACAGAGAATCATTGGGAGGGTAACAATAACGCAAAACCAAAATGAAATAAAAACATGGTGAAAGAACCCAGTTTTGAGAGTTCTAAACACTGCAGGATGTGCTCTGCAGTTTATAATTCCCTCAGGTACAATAAATGAGTCTGTTTGACTTCTCTCTGGCTATGGTTGAAGAATGGATTGCAGGCGACAGCTGCTGTGTGGTCTCACAAACTGTTTCTCAAAAGATTTGGTTTCCCTGAGTCTCTCCCTTCCATAAGGAAAAACAACCTGAACAGCATTCTTTGTTGGAAATGATGTTCATATTAACGTGTATTGTATTTGTGTTCTTCATCCTCATATCAACTGTAAAATGCAAAGTAAATAAGAAGTAATTGGCATGATTTTTCTTTACTCATTTAACATGTGCAAGGTGACATTTACATCTCTTCTATTGCTTTCTTTAGTGTGTATTTAAATGAGTTCACAAGTTCATGTGCAACTTCTGTCCCAAACTTTATTTCCCCATAATCCTAAACAACA